CAGGGTGGTCGAGCTAACGCCATCTCACACACGACCAGACAGGTGCAGAGACCGAGAAGCGGCCTGATGTCACAGAGCCAGTAAGCAGCAGGGCCGGGACTGCCTGGGTAGCCTACTGGAGGCCCCTCAAACACACCACACCCCCAAACCAAGCTCAGCCTGTCCCCTTCCCTTCAAACCAACCTGACGCCATCAGGAAACCCTGATTCTCCAGCCTTACAATCTTCTCCCCCAGGCGCTCCCCTGCTTCACGCCCTGTCCTGTCTCAGGCCGACATCTGCAGTCACCCGCGATGGTCCCAGCCTCTGGGGTCCCATCTCCTCCACACAGACCCCTCCTCCGGCTTCCCCTCCGACTCGAATAAAAACTGCGGAGCAGGGATGCTGTTCTTACAAGGCCCCGTGTGCCCCCGGCCAGCCCTCCCACAACGCCACCAACTTCCTCTTTCCCCTTCTGAATTCTGCTCTTCTTCAGACACACCAAGTCTGTTCTGGCTCCGGCCTGGGTGTTTGCACTTGCTCAGCCCCCCGCCTGGAACTCTTCTCTGGGGACCTGGCCGGCCCGTTCAGGCCTCTGCTCCAGCATCACCTCAGACAGGCCTACAGAGCACACCGCCGCCATTACTCCCTAGCCTCTCACGAAGCTTTCTCTCCTCCTCACGTCACACCGCAGCTTTGTGTGATCTGTCTCTCCCACCAGAAGGGACACTGAGAGAGCCAAGACCTCGTCCGTCCTATCAGTGCCTGGACCCGAGGGCCTAAAAAGCCAGGCAGACGTGGGGTACGGATATACTAAAGGCTGAGCTCAGTGAGCCGCTCGGGTCACCGCTGCAAAGGCCCAAACCCAGCCGAACACCTTCAGGACTCTCAGGGCCTCACCCCGACATTCAACGCCTTCCTTAGTCCTCCCTGGTTCCCCACCCCCAAGCACGCCGCATGGAACCTCTGCTTTGACCCCATCAGCACTGGCCGAAGCAACCTCGGCCCGCTTTGCCATCCCTCCAGCTGGAGCTCCCGTCCACCTGCCAGGCCCTCCCAAAGGCCGGCCCTCTGGGGAAGACACCAGCCTCAACTCCGCCTCCTTGACACCGCAGACCAGGCTCCAGACTAGGCCCGGGGTGCACGCTGCCCAGCCTAGAATCCGCCTTCAGGAAACATCTGCTGAGAGAGGATGGTCTAGGTGTAAGCGCCCTCCCCGGACTTGCATGCTACCATGACCGGGGGGGGGGGGGGGGATGCGGTGGAGGACTAAGGGACAGCAGTAAGGGCCCAGATGACCCTAAGGTGGAATCTGTTGTTTAACACAAGGGCACGACGCTCGGCCTTGGCCAGCCAGGGGCACGGCTTCGGGGAGTTTCAATCTCAGATGTGTTCCCCAGCAGACCAGGGCTGCTTCTAGAAGTGAGGTGGGCGGGCGAATGGGGGGAAATGAGAGCCGAGAGTACAACAGTTGCCACACGGAAAGTTAGTCCTAGGGAAACCAAATCAAACCGACTTTTCAGGAGAAGCAGGAGAGCCCGATGCGAAAGTGAAATCTGCCATTTCGGACGTTGGCCGTGAACTCAAGATCACCAGCCAGCATAACAAAACACCTTCTAGTTCACAGCTCCTGCCTATCTGCTCCTGACAATGGGCTGCTACCTGTTTTTACTTTTCCAGCGTTCGCCAAACACCTCTTGTGCACTCAGGGCGAGCCAGTGAGCCGTGACACCAAGCACCAGGCCTGGCGGCGCCCGTGGGGCCCAGAAACTCCAGCCGGACCTTACCTTCATTGTGTTGGGCCCTCCTTCTTTCATCCCGTGGGGTTCTGGTTCCGTCAATTTTCCTAGAAGAGGAAAAAGAGGGGCACGTGTTCTCTCGAGTCCCACTTGTCTATAAACGCCTATTAAGGAATCAGACTTGGAAATTATCTCTGCCAAATAAACTCCTGTGCAAAAAGAGAAAAAATACTAATTCCCTTGCTTATACTCAAAAAGCAGCAACGGACCAAAAAAATATGCTGACTGCTTGCTATGTGCTCAACTGTCTGGCTCCCATTCCCGAAAAACTTCCGTTCCTTCGGCCCCCTCACACCGGCCCCTCCCCGGGCCCCCTGCTCCTGGGACCAGGTCTCCCACACGTACGGGGAGTAGGGGTGTGTCCGGGGTGCAATCGTCCTCTGTGTTCCTGTCTGAAGCACATCTTGTGGTGTCATCATGACATAGAACTGGCCTGCAGCAAAAGCCGGGGTTAGTGGAAAAACTGGGGGGAAGGGGGACAATCAGAACCGGTTGGGGGGGCTTCCCTCCCTGCTAGGCCTGCTGCCTCCCCTGCCTTCCGCCCTGGCCCCTTCCTCCCTTTACCTCCGGCCTGCAAGCTCTGGTCTGTGGTCTGTACGGACACAGCCGTGGTATCTCCCACACTGGATGCTGGGAAATAGGCAAACCGTGCCTCCCCACTGACAGCCTCAGCTGCCGGGCTGCCGCCATTGCTGAAGGGATTTTGGATTACGGCCTGGGGAGTAGGACACAGAGGCCACCCTTAGCCACCTCTGTTCGCCAACCCATCCTTCTCGCCGTGTAGACCGTTCGCCGCATCCGCTGGAGGACGGGAAACCCCTCTGTGTGTGCCACTCTGCCCTGTCTCCTAGCCCGGAAACTCAGCAGATGCCCAGCAACCACCTGATGAGCTGATCCACTTTCACCTCTAAGAGCCTTTCCTGTTACCATCATCCCCGTTTGACAGAAAAAAGAAAAGCTCTTGACCCAAGTTTTAGACCACGCGGAACAGGGATCTGACCCACACCGCCTGATGGTCTGAAGGCAGCATCGGTTTCCCACTGGCCCCACCCCCTGGGGATTCCCAAGAGCAGCGTCAGTGTCCCTTCTCCATCCCCCCAGGGGCGGTGGGCACCTACCAGCGGGAAGGGCGCTGCGGGACCTGGGGGCACAGAGGCAGCAGTGGGGCCAGGACGCTGGGCTGCCCCGTCCACACCCACCTGGGTCACAGCCTGCTGCCCCCCCGCGAAAGCGGCCGTAGACACAACGCTGACGGCGCCAGCCGCGTCGCCCTGGCCATCCAGCTGACCATCAGTCACCTGGACTACGCGGTACGTCACCTGCAGGGGGCGGCAGAGCAGCGAGATCGGCTCTGGGGTGCCGGCCGGGGCCAGGTCCGAGCCCCTCCCAGGCCGCCCGCTCGACCCTCGGCTCAACCCTCCACTTGCCCGCGGGCTCCCGGCCCGCAGCTTCACCTGTCCTCCATTATTCTCTGTGCGGAACTGGTACTGGATGTTGTGGTCGCCAAACGCCGCCTGCTGGACGCTGGCGATGGCCACCGCCGTCTGCTCCTCCGCCCCAGGGCCGTCCCCGCCTGCGGTCGGAGGAGGAGGGGGGGAGGTGGGAATGGTCAGTGGTCACGCGGCCAAGGCGCCCCCAGTCCCCTCCCCGGGCGCAGGCCGCGGCCCCGGTAAGCCCCGCGAGCACTCACCTTCCTGCAGCTCGACGCCCTCCTCTGCCTCGGGTCCCTTGTCGTGACTGCGGGGAGGACGGGAAGAGGGGGGTCAGGGCCGCCCGCGCCCCCGCCCCTTTGCCCAGGTGCACGGCCCCGTCCCGCCCGGCCCAGTCTGGAGCTGGGGCACCGCGAGGACCCGGGGCCGAGGGTATTAGCGCGGGTCCCCCCCTCCCTCGCAGCCTCCATTTTGAGCCGGGCCCAGCGGCCGCTCGGGATCATGGCGGCCCGGCCGCCCGGCCGCCAGGCCGAAGGGCCGGGGCCAGGGCGCGCGGGGGCACGGGCCGGTCGGGCACTCTTACCTGGCGGCGGCAGCAGCGGTGGCCGAGGCAGCGGGATCCAGACCCGGGTCCAGCATGTCCATGGGGGG